TCCAGGTAGTTGGCGGTTGGACATTTGTAACAGATGTTTCAACCACCTCAACTGATGAAGTTTCAATACTTCATCTACTGATTCACCATACTTACCTAGTACCCGTTTCCTAACGACAGCACTGCTTACTTGGCAGTCCCAAGATACACGAGCAATGCTTCGAAGACACCAGTGGTCAGAAACCAGTAAACGACGTATATCCTTTACCCTTTTTAACCATGTCTCACAGCCATAAAATAGGATAAAGCAAACCGCTGTGCAGTAGATTCATCCCTGGATTAGCAAATGGATATCTCCAACGCCATAAGTAAGGCAAAGTGGCTTATGCCAATCAAGCCTTTTATCTCCGTGTTGAGATTTTGTCATTTTATCATGCCATCGGCACGGAAGAGACTCCAAAAAAGATAACTGAAGCCGTCAACAAACTCGACTAATTCACTCCCAATCACTGGTTCAGGTGTCGATGCAAAATTACAGACACTTATTACTTACTAATAAATATTACTTATTTTCTCCAGTAATACATTATTTCAAGTTAATTCATTTCAGTTATTAAAATAAAACTAAACTTTCAAAATTATGAGACGCATTTTATAATTTTGATGGAAATGAATATAAAGTCACTTTTAAAAAAGAATTCCTCTTTTTTTTCCCCAAAAGTATGAAAAATTTATGATGATTTCATATTATGAGAAAATAAAAATTGATAAGTGAAATAGTTAATTTTTGTTTTATTATTTTTTTTTTTAAAAAAAATGAATTTTTAAATTTTGATAAATAAATCTCTGAATGAATCAATAAATTTTAAGCAAAAAAACTATCGTTATACGATGAAATTATTTCACTCTGAATGTGTTTTTTTTTTTTAATTTTTTAACATGGCACAAAAGATAATTTATATCTTTTTTTTATACGTTGAACTGAAATTTAAGTATGATAAACCTCATTCCCCTCACCTCATCATAAATCAAAATATTAACTCACTAGTAAACAAACACATGAATGATTTGATAGTTAGAGGAGACCATGAATGACATGACATGACTGAAAATTGTTTGCAATTGCGAACATGCATCCATTCTTTATTATGTTCTCTCACATGCTAATCTTCTGAATTCCCCATGACCGTTTTTTCTCTCTTTTTTTTTTTAATTGTTTCCTCTGGGATATAATACATCTCGAATGATATATATTCGAACATTAATCTCTATGATATCTGTTAATACTTCTACTATTTCTATTACTATGGGATTTGAATTGAAAATTCTATCTCTCTGTGCTGGTGTGTTATAGTAATATGAACTGATATATACATACGTATAAAATAATTACATTGTAACTGAATTGACCTGAAAAAACTGAATGATTCTAATTAATAAGTAGGCGTCTGTGATTATTCTCTAACATGTTCGAAAAAAATTCCAAAGATTGGCCGACAATTACGAGTGAATAAATAAATGATATTCTTAATGAAAAGTATTAATTATTTTCTTAAAGACTTTTTTTTCAATTCAACAATTATTCATCACATGTAAACAATTCTAAATCAAAATTCAATAGATATTAAAATCGAATGAATATATTTATCATATAATAAAATTATTCGAATGGAATAGTTGGGGGGACGTTAGATCCCTAGCAGTCACTTGAAAAAGGTCCTCATTTTGGATCTTGTGTTTTTACACATGAGCTGATCAGTTGACCTTCAGCTTAAATATCCCACCCGGGAAATTCTTGACTGTCATTGGTTGATGTATTATTTTAGTATGCTATTTTTGTGGTTCTCTCAAGGATGTATAAATAAACCCTGTTTGTGTTATTGTCGACCTCATATTTTCCGGGTGCTTCTATGCCTTATCAAGACTTCTTGATATGGTTAGCATGGCCTGGGACAAGGGACAAGAATAACCTATGGTGTCACTGTATCGTTGAGCTTCGTTCGGTTTACTGAGTAAAGTGAACTTGCATTAGTTTCAAGCAGAAATAGAGGATGTCTTGCTGAAATGATAAACCATAACGGAATTTTTTTTCTGGATAAACTTAACGATTATCTCATTGGACTGATCGAAATCATTTTCTACTTGATAACATAGAATAGATAGAACGTGGTTAAGAAGTAGAATTTCAGAATGCACATTTCATCCAATTTAGGACCCGTCAGCTGAATATTCCTGCATTATGGGACTCGAGCCTGTTACCGATTGCCTTTTAGGTCAGCTGGTTTGGAGTTCGGTAGTGAACATAAATTCTGAAATGCAAGAACAGACGAGTTTTAAAGTGGATGAAATACCCGTCTTAAATTTTAATGCTAGTCAGTCCCGTTCTATCTTACTCTATGCAAAATTCTATCATGTGTATATCGAGGCAAACCACATAGGATACCTATATGCCAACCTGGACTGATCAAATTCCTGTCAAAATATCGACGAACGAGATAATCTAATCCATTGTCAATCGAATCAATTCCATAGATTGATATGAGTGATTAAGAGTTGTATTTTCGTACACTTGTAGTGCATACAAAACATCACATTGACTTCACTCTAAAAAAGCTTTATAAGGATATCCACTATAATCTATCAAATTTATCACATAGGTTTATGTGTACATTTTTAGTTCATAGCACAAGTTATCGAAATCCATGCTCCTCGTTATTCAATCGAAGTTCATGCGAACACTTTGGCCTTTAGTATATGGAGTGAGTTGATCTGAACTTTGATGACCCTCATTCTTTCCAACAAAATTATTCAAACAGGATTTCTAATTTCTTTCACTTTTTTTATATAATTTCACAATATTCTCAATATCCGTTTCTTGATTCTTATACAAACGATTATACACTAATGGCCCTTGGTCAAAATATTTTACTACTTATGTAATATTCAATTATTATGTAACGTTAAAACTGTCTACTTGAGTTTTTTTTGAATAATTACGCCCTACATTCCAAAACTAGCCACTATCTTATCTCTGCTTATAATACTCATGACTGAATTGGTTCTATTTTGAGGCAATGAATTTAGGATGCGCATATGTCAAAGGAGATTGACTGATCAACTATAGTCCTAACACATCAATAGAAAGATTCAAACAACCAATCCGAATGAATGATTTACTTTGATTATTGCAATGGTTTTGCCTCCAATTACGCCACTATGTAATTAATCATTCTGTTACACAATTACTAAAACGAGTATTAATCTGAAGTTAGACATTAACATCATTGGATGCCGGCTCAGTGGATTAGAGATTAGGCGTTCCCATGTATGTCCGACTCCTTCCCGCCGTCAGGGTCGTGGACGTGCACTACTGAGGAGTCCCAAACTAGGAAAAAACAGTCACCTACTATTTCCTGGTTTCCATTGGTGACCTAACATAGTGGATCGACGTATGATTTCAATGAAACTTTTAACATTTTTAACACAATCCAATATGTATATCATAACATCTATGCATCTGTGCATAGCTATGATAAAAAAAATAATATTCTCTTCGCTTGAGTTGTTCTTCTTTTTTTTACACTCTTAACATGAATAATTAATGATTGCATTAGAATTGTTTTTTTCAAGTTTTATCAACTATATTTTCTCTTAAAATTTTATCTACAGAAATGTTAACTTTACAATTGAATAGTTTTCTATAGGATTGATTATATGCTCTCTAATTGTATTGAGAGAAAATTAAGCTGGTAGATTTTAACGATTCTGAAAATGAGATAATAGTCATCATTGTTGTTATTGAAATGGTATAGAAAAACTTGAAGTTCAAGTGGATGATTACTGTGGAGTTTCATTCTGTATGAGCTGGAAGTTTTGTTTGTGGGGTTTTGTTTCATAGTTACTTCAGATAGAAGAAGTGAACTATTCTAATTTCACATCTCTGTATGAAGTTTGCGCTGATGATGTTGTTGTTCAGCAGAAGAACAATAAAAGCTCCACAACCGAGATAAATGTCCAGCTCATACAGAATGAAACTTCACCACAGTCACTGTTGTTGCCCAGGAATGTTGATCGTCCATTGTTTTATATGATCTTGACTAACTAGAGCAATGGAAAGAGATGTTTTTTAATACAACTGGTTTCTGTTTAACATTATCTAGTCAACTTATGAGAATAAATTACTTAGTTTTGTTATATCCTATTGCATTTACTCTTCTGATTCAGTTGCTTCTGTGGAAAAATTTAATTTAATGCTTTCTGAAAGACCTAATGAGTAAGTTTAAAAAGGGTCAATTATAAACGAATATACTGCTTCATTCTTCTATCACGTTCGATGGATAGTTGTCATGTAATACAGAGAACTAAAGCATTCACAGTATGACTTGTAAAGTACATTTATACAATCTATAAAAAAACACCACTGGAATGAAATTAAAAAAAACGTAACTCAACTAGACCGTATCTATCAACTTTGTAAGCTATGAATTTAATTACTGACAAAATGTATACCAGAATGAAGCAAGAATTCATTGTACCCTAGTTCTCAATGATGTCTAAACGGAAATCAGTTTGTGACGAAAAACATACCTACAAACAAACAAAGAATATTTTGCACTATAGTGTTATAGAGATCGTTGTTTCACCTTGAAACCATGAATGGGTCATTGTTAGACCACCATTGGAAGCCTCGGAAGCACTAGACGGCCGTTCCGTTGCACGAAAATTCCTTAGATTGATCAGGATTAGACCTGAACATCGCTGGATGTCAGCTCACCGGTCCAGAGGTTAAGCATTCGCTAGCAAGACCAAAGGTCTTGGATTAGAATCCTATGAGTTGCATTAGTCGTGGATGTGCACTACCATTGACGGATCCCACAGTAGGACAAAACTGCTATTCAGCGCTTCCAAGTTTTTTTTATGATGGTCTAACAATGATTCATTAAAGATTTCAAAGTGAAACAAAGAATAGTACTTTTTAATTTTGCTGTTTTTCAATGTTTTTTACACTAAACTAAATCACTCTATTTATTTCACAAAATATATCTAAATTACAAACAATAGGAAGAAGAGTACCATTTGGCACAATTAACCAAATCTGGGAAATACACTAAAGACGAAGCTGCCGCTATCATTCAATCAAGATATCGTGATCATCTTCTTCAACGAGAACGTCGGCATAGTGTTGCGAAAATTAAACACATATTACTAAATAATGATGATGATAATGACGATGATGATGCGCGTGTAAAAGACGAAGCACTTGATCCAATCACTTCATCATTATTATTATCATCAGCATCATCGTGTCCTCTAAATTCAATACAATCTTCTTTAATTGACAGTGAAGAGAAATCCTATCAAGGTGAAGACATATCGCTAAACGAGAAAACTGAAGAAATTTTCAATTTAATTGTTGGTGAAGACGAAATTGGTGGATTAGCTGAAGAACAAGAACAAGAACAACAACACGAAGTAGAAGCACAACCAGAAGCAGAAGCACAGCAAGAAGACGAAGAAGAAGAAGAAGAAGAGGTGAAGAATTTGGAATTGATTAAACAAGAACCAGAGGAGAATTTCATTGAAGAACCTATCGAAAATATTAAAGCTGAAGATTTAAATAGTTTGGAAGTAAGAATTCTTGATGTATTATTGTTTGTTCGCATTTCATGATATATGTGATATTCATGCTTTGTAAATCTACTTACTTAAACCTGTTACCCCTTGTGAAGCATAAGGTTGCCGACCACAACCTACTCTTTCCTTGGCCTTTCTTTTTTCCAGTTCGTTTTTTTTTTCATGTCTGACTCCAATTCTTTAGGTAATGTATTCTTTTAGTCTTCCTCTTTCCCTTTGGCGTTGAGGATTCCAAGTAAGTAAGAACTTCTCTTGTACCTCAATTAGGCGATTTCCTTAATCTTTGTTCTATCCACCTCCAGCGCGTTTTCCAAAATTGTCGCTCAACTTGAATTAGATGTGTTGTTCTCTCCCATAATAGGTTGTTGTTGAAAGTGTCTGGTTATCGATTCCATAGTATCTTCAGACCAGCAGTCACCCCTGTAGGGCGCCAAGTAGAGTTGTTATTGAAGATAATATTATATTTAAATTGTGAGTAGAACGCGAGTGGTGTGTGCGTGTTTTGTCACTCACAGTTTGGCTTCATCAATTGATAAATTCACTTTTATCTCAGTAAGTAATAGTTACATTAAAACTAGAATAGTCTATTTATCTCTTCAAGAGCCATTGAATTAAAATGACTGAACTATTAAACCTGTATAGACAGTAACATATTGAACAAACTTTGAACTCTTAAGACAAAGTTTAAGAGAGAAAATAATGCCTAGTTATTACCTATAACAAATTATTGATACAATCAAGCTAAGATGCGAATTACTTTCATAGTAATAATAATAATAATAATAATAAGATGAACTCTGTGTTGGAAAGTTCCGCCTGGTCACCTTCTAAGATTTCTGCCGGTCCGAAGCCCATATAACCGAAGACGGTTGGGCCCCATATGGTCAGCGACTGCATCCCGTAGAGAACTATCATGCTAAAGAAAAATAAAACCATAACCAGAACTAATTCTGGAAAATGCAGATTAAATTCGTTTAGATTCGTAGAATATTCATTACTTATCATACGCTGATAGCTATTTATTCATAGGTTGTACTAAACACAAATGTATTCATTGTTTGTGTTATTCGGTATTTTTGGGGTTTGAGGTATCATTTTTTTTTTAACTTTTCATTTACTACTCAATTTATTCATTATTATTAAGGAATATTTGAGTGTACAGTTGATTTCAATATGTTCCTCCTTTAGGTTCTGAAGTTATAAGTTCATAATTAATAATGTCTTATTTTACTTAATTTTCATGATAGGGTTGTGGAGATAGTTGAATTACTATTTGAAACCATACATCGATCAATGTTAGACGACCATTAGAAACGTGGAAACACTGGACGGTCGTTTTGCCCTGATGAGGGACTCATCAGCAGTGCGTATTTACGACTCCAGCTAGTGAGAATTTGTGAAGCAGTGCTCACCGAAGGCAGTGGATAAGGTTGCGCAAGACCATGGATTGGTTGGAGCTACATTAACACCGTCGTTAGATACCGGCTCAGTGGGCAAGAGGTTAGGCGTTCGCACGCAAAACCGAAGGTCCTGGGCTCGAATCACTTGAGTTTAGAGAACCATGGATGCGCATTGCTGATGAGTCTCAGATCTTATTAGTGCCAAAATAGGTCATACATTAACGAACGAGACAATCATATCACGTTAGAACCACACAGATATAAGCTAACAATATTGTTTTCAACTAGATCATCATTAGGTTCTACTCTCTAATATACACAAATATTTTTATGAACATGTTAGACCAATCTAGGCAATTTACGAGCCAATAATCAAAATGAAATAGAGATTACGTCACTGTACATTATTAGGTAAAAAGTACAATTTGATGGAAGGATGACAGGTGTCCTGCTACTAGTAAGAAGTTTTTGTCAATTATTCAACATTGGAAGCAGTAGGTCAAACATAGATAAATAGATTTAAAATCATCACAAAACATTCAAACAATTACGTAATAAGCGAAAATTTGTAACTGTTACTCTGTAATACTCTTGATCTGAAATCCCCGTTATTCCACTCTATCTATTTCAAACATATTCTTAATGCTTGGTCTTTCTGATTATCAGTATGGCGTTGTAGAGATGGTGAAGTTTCATTGAAATCATGAACTGATCATTGTTAGTCCACCATTGGAAATTGGAAGCATTGGTATGGCATTTCTCAGCAGTGCGCATCCACGATCACTTAACCCTTTAACTGCTGAGTCGGCTTCAAACGGTTTTAATGTCTATATTAAGTCACTCCATGATATTGCGCGACTATCATACACTGTTTTCTTCAGTGGATAACTGCATCAAACTCGATTTATTTGAGCTGCATACTATATGGTATCAATAATTATTAATGATTAAATACTGACTCACTTTCGCCTGTTACCCCGTAATAAAGCATAAAGCCACAGACCAGCATTTTCCAACCTACTCTGTCCCCTCGGCCTTCCTTCCTAGTTCTGTTCAATCGGTATTCATTCTTCTCATGTCTGTCTCCAATTCCCGGTTTTCCTTTTGATTTATTCCAATCTCTTTTACTCTGTATCTTATTATTTTCACCTCGTATCAATATGATAATGAGAACTTTGGTTAACGCATATCATTAGTTCAGATTGATGATAACTAACTTATCATCATTGTCTTACCTATTTTCATCATAATACTAAAACAAAGTATAATAATAATTTCTTTTTGATTAACTGCTTTGTAATTAATTTTTGAATTCATTATTGTTTCAATGAATTCAATATCACAGTTTTTTTCTTTAGTTTGAACATGTTTTTAATGATTTCATTGGCATTTTCAATGATTATTGAACATTTACTCAAACAAAAAAACGGATTAAAATCCATTTTTCTATTAAAAACCTTTACTGATTAATTTTTAAACAAACCGTAAAAGATGATTATATTAGTTGTACATTGAATACAATGAATTGATTCTGTTCCATTGATTTCGCTTCAGCAATTACATACAAGCTAATATGTTTTATTTATTTTCAAGTAAATAAATGAGGTCAGTCAACACATACACACACACAATAAATTCTAATGATATTTGATTGAATCAAGTCAAATTTTAATCAAGGCAGTTTCCTTTGATTAACTGCCCACCATTTTTGTTGATTACAAAGGTCAAATTTAAGTCTTCTGATTTTGATGGTTTTAGGAAAATCTCAGCAATTTATCGATAATTGTGAACCAGTTCATTAAATCCACATGATTCCTCGCCCCCCACTCCCGATGTCTAACATGTGATATGTGCTATTGAACTACGTAGGTAATTTTCACTTGGAATGTGTGGATTTTTTTGGGGGGCATATGTTCGCTTATCCAACCTAAAAAATAAAAGCAGAATTTAGTGAGTTGACCTCGTATATTCACTTTTCCTTGAATTCAACATCACGTTATATCAATTGGGAAATCAGTTAACATAAAAGTTTGGTATGCAGCTGAAACGAAATTAACGAAATAGTTTGTTTAACTTTTTTTCAGAGGAACCAATTGCATGAATTTATTAATTGAATTTTATATTTCATTAAAATTATGGATTGATCATTGTTAGACTAGCATTAGAAACCTGAAAGCACTAGAAGGCTGTTTCGTCCTAGTAAGGAACTCATCAACAATGTACATGTACGATCTTCGCTAGTGGAAACGGAACTCAGGACCCGTCGGTCTTGAGCGCGAACGCTTAACCTCTAAACCATTGAGCTGCTATCAGACGGTGTTAATGTCTGACTGTAATCATTCCAACCTATCGCGCAATCATACCCAATGTCTTTAGTAGGTAATTGCCTACAGCCGACTCGGTTAAACTCTACTGGTCACTGGTCATAAATTTGATATATTATTATTGAAAAAATTTCTTTTTACTGATTTCAATATTCTTGTTTTTCCATTAAACTTTTCCTTATTTATAATTAGAAATAAGTCATTAAAGTGCTTTATCAATTATACTCAAAAACATATGCCCAGGAGAACCATGTATATATATCCACAAAGTGACGCACATACCTTATACATCTCAGCTATAATTTCGATTTCTGTTCACTAATTACTCTTGACCCAAATTCTTTTTATACGACTGTAATACTCCTGGGTATTTTGTTTTAGTAGGAATATATTCACTAATTATGTGATTCGACATTCAATAAATTTGACTTTCTAAAACTATATAACATATATATATATATATATATATTTATATAGGTTGTTTGATAAAAAGTAGTCAGTCAGTCAGTCACTCTGTACGTACATCACTTTAGGTTGCCATACCGCATAAGCACAGAGATGCAACTGTCAGTTCAGATCACATAGTGGTAGAGATAGTAAAAGTATTAGCCGTAATGGAGAAGATTAGGATTCAAAGTTATGATTTGAGAAGTATAATTCAGTGAGATAACTTTAGAAGAAAAAAGATAGAGAGGATAAGGAATTTGTACGGTTAGAATTTCAGAGAACACAAAGAGTGGATGCACCTGCGCCATTGCAAATGATTTTGAGCCATGTCGTCCAAGCTCTCTAACAATCGGTGAACTTCCTCTCGTGGACCACGGCCAGGTAGCCTACATACCAACATGACAGTCCATTTGTTAGTGATTTCATGGATTTCTGCCATGTTTTCGTCTGGTCGCCCCTAGCTTACCTCCAAACTGCTACTAAACCACTAAACATAGCTCGGCGAGTCAGTCGGTGGTTGCGCATTCGTAACACATGTCCGAACCACCTCAAATGATGGACTTTCAAACAATATTCAATAGGAATTGAAGTATCCTACTCTCCTGTTTGATGAATATTTCTTATCAGGTTTTATAGGGGTAGGTTGAAAGATAGCTAGAGGCGATCGGACAGAAACTTAACACAAACTCATGAAGTCATTGGCAACTGAACTGAACCATGTTAGTTTGTGTTGACTACCTGGTTGGGGTCCACGAGACGAAAGTAACCGATAGTGAGAGACTTTGAATGATATGGTTCAAAAATGGTTTGCAATCGCTTAGAT